TTGACCGTGTTCCCAGCGCTGAAAAGGAAGAATGCCTGCCTTCTAACACTACATTGGTGTTACGAGGTGTATTCCCGATTTTGGTGACACAGGGGCCACCCCCCGTTCCACCGCTGTGCTGCCTCACCCCCCATGTACGGCTAAGAAACGGCAAGGGCTTCTCCTGGGTGTAAGGCAGGTTGTGGCCCGTGGAGGGCATCCCCATTTTCTGGAACTCAAGTCAAGGTGAAGCCGCTGCTCTTTAGCTCACAGCTCTGAGAAACCTCTGCTTCCCCCAGACACGGCTGGGAGAGGCCCTGGGAAGAGCTGGTGGTCTTTGTGGGGAAGGAGGGCAAAGGGGAGAGCTGGGGGCAACCGGGACACTCGTGGGTCCTTTTAACCCGGGTCGCATCCCCCCGCAGGTAAACATTACGGGGTTTACAGCTGCGAGGGCTGCAAAGGCTTCTTCAAGCGCACGGTGCGGAAAGACCTCACCTACACCTGCCGTGACAACAAGGACTGCTTGATCGACAAGCGCCAGCGCAACCGCTGCCAGTACTGCCGCTATCAGAAGTGTCTCGCGATGGGGATGGAGCGAGAAGGTAAGGCCCAGAGCCTGGTCCGAGCACCCATGGGTGCTGCAGGTACCTTCCCTTCGTGAGGAGGCTCCAGCAGGCTCCTGCCTGTTGGCAACGTGGCGGCACCGAAGCCAGCGTGAACCTCGCCGAGGGCTGCCTGCGCCGGGGCACCAAAAACGCGTGGCTCTCAGTTACGTTTTGCTTTTGCGCCACAGCCAGGGCCTCTGGTGGGCTCCAAACCGGCGGTAAGTCCCAGGGCGGTACCCGGATGGCGGGTGGTTGCCCGTTAGTAAACGAGCCAGCGCCCAGAGGCACTGCGCACAGCGCCGGGGAGCAGGGGGGCAATGAGAGCGGACAGTGCTCGCGAGGTCCTTCGCTGCTCGGGCGCTTGCGCTCCCGGTTTTGCACCGGCTGCCACGTGTTGGGAGCAGCGATGGCAAACACACCGAGCTCCCCTTTCCCTGCAGAGCCCTGTCAAACAGAGCTGCGAAAGCTGCCGGGGCTTGGGTGCCTTTTGGGTGACAAATGCTGCCTCCTGGCTTGGCCCTTCTGTCTCCGTGCAACACGGGATGTCAAATCCTGGAGAACCGGTGCCGATTAGGGGATATTGGCAAGATAAAGATCACATTTAATCCGCTGGTTACTAATCAGCGTGCCACCGGGCGGGTGAGAGGCTCCTGCGCGTGTCCCAGCTGCGCGCTGCTCGTAGCGCACACCTCGCTCGGGGCGGGCGGGGAAACTCCGTGACTTAGCGTCCGTCTCATCAGAGCCCACTGCTCGGGCACCGGCACCGAGCACCGGCTGCTCTGACTCCGAAGCATTCCCTAGCAGTAGCAATAATGGATTTTTTTTCTCATTGGGAGGAAAAAAGAAATTCACTCTTGTAAAAAGATATCCCTCCCCTTTCCGGAATTTAAATTTAGGGTCTAAAACTCCCTGGCAGTGCCTCTTTTCAATGCTCTTTTTAAATGCTGACTGCATCTGTTTTAAACTGCTGGCAGAACAGGCTTTTACCAGACAAGATGAGAAAATGACCCCGTGGTGCTGCTCAGTTCTCTGCTGCCGTCTCCCCTTACACCTTCAGAGCCACGCTTGCCTCCTTGAGCCGCCAGTAAACCCATCGCTCTGCCGAGCCGCTCCGGTGGCGGCGGGGGGGGGCGTGGGCAACGCAGCGCTC